ATATATATATGTATATATATATATATATATATATATATATAAACCGCATCTGAGCTGCATATACACCCCAGCTGTATATAGAGCTCAACTGAGGTGTATGTACACCTCATTTATATTTATAATAATTTTGTTTTATAAGCAGAATAAATAAATACAAACAAAACACACAAACAGCAACAGATATCCTTGTAGTACATATGCTGCTGCTGCTGCTGCTGCTGCTGCTGCAGTTCGTGCTGCTGCTGCTGCTGCAGTTCTTGCTGCTGCTGCTGCTGCTGCTGCTGCTGCCAGAGCTCCTGCTGCTGTTGGTGCTTCTGTTGCTGCGGCTGTCGGTGCTTCTGCTGTTGTTGTTGCTGCGGTTGCTGCTGTTGCTTTTGCTGCTGCAGCTGCTGCATCTTCTGTTGCTGCAGCAGTTGCTGCTTCTGTTGGTTCAGCTACAGCTATTGCTGCTGCTGCTGTTGCTGCTGCTGCTGCTGCTGCTGCTGCTGCTTAGTAGAATGGTACATTAGCCATGAGCCCAGCTGTATGAGTTTTGTCTGTTGCTGCTGTTGCTGCTGTTGCTGCTGCTCCTGCTGCAGCAGCAGCAGCAGCAGCACCGCCTGCTGTCTTTTCAGATAGCAGCAGCAGCAGCTGCTGCAGCAGCTCAGCTGTATTCTCGTTTGTTGGTGATGAGCCCATTGCTGCGTTCTGCTGCAGCAGCTGCAGCAAACACACACACAAATAAAAAATAAAAAATTAAATAAATAAATAAATAAATATATATATATATATATATATATTTTTTTTTTTTTATTTATTTATTTATTTTATTTGTTCATTTATTATATATTGTTTAGCTGCAGCAGCAAGTACCTGAGGGGTATTGGGGAGAGCAGCAGTTTGCTGCATTTGCTGCTGCTGCTGCTGCTGCTGCTGCTGTTGCTGCTGCTGCTGCATTGGTTGTTGCTGTTGCATGTGCTGCATCTGCTGCTGCATCTGCTGCTGCATCTGCTGCTGCATGTGCTGCTGCTGCACTTGCTGCTGCTGCT